GCATGTGCATCAAGGTTTTTCTTGTGATTGATTCAGTTTTAAAATAGTGCTTAACTTATTTTTGGTACACTATTCTGACCGTATTTTCTTCTGAAACTTCATGTCGTATACATGGTAGTTATGTCAAGAATATTTGGTAAGGGGATCTTTTATTTTTGGAGGGAAGTTTTATTTTGCATGTATTGTTGGACAAGTTTTGAATTTGAAACTCCAAGTCGAACCGTCTTGTAACTTGCCTCGATAACTGCAATTTCGGTTCCCTATACATATCATATCCATTTTCTCATCTCTCTTATATCAATCTTCTCCCAATTTCTCTCTTCTCACCAAAATTATCTAACCTACCTTTTTCATGTGAAGTTTCTCTCTCAAAATCATGCCTAAATCCAAACAGGGAAACGAGAAGCCGAAGAAGAATTTTCCTTAACACTCTCAACGTTCAACTTGTCAAAGCCAAAGCACTAAAACTCCACCAAACCCTACTACATCCGATATGGAAATCGAAAAAGTTCAACCCTCTGAACAACCGAGCCCTAAGAAGTCCTCTACAACCAAAGTTGTTTAACCAACGTTGCAGGTACCAACGATAAAGAGGGAAAAGGGTCTCCTTCTGCCACAAAATCTCCGAAGAAGCGGAAGAAGGTACCAGCACCTTCTGGAGAAAAACCGAAAATGGCAAAAAAGACCATTCATGTTCCGAACCTTCTACTGTTGTTGCTTCTATATCCATGTCCAGTAGAAAATCATCACCCGATTCTGATGCTGACTCTACAGCGAAAGAAATTGATAATTATGATGGTGAACTTGAAAAATCCGACAACAATGTTGCTGCTGACAAAGAGAGTTCCCCTGTTATTGAAAAGAAAATCGTCAATGACGCTGAAGTATATTCTCCCAAATGAAATTTCATCCTGAGAGGACGATTTTTAGTGAGCACTTTGAACAACTTGGTTTGCTCGAACTACTGAAAAAGGTTGGTCTTGAAGGTTATGTGATGTATGTTGGTAAATATTTCTCTCAACTTCATGCTGAATTCTATTCGAATTTGTCTACGTCTGTTTTTTACCCCAGTTCTATGAAGTTTCAAAAGGTATTTGTGTGAAATAGTATCATTATGTTCTCTTCGTCTGTGGTAAACTTTGTCCTTGGACTGGCTAAAAGTTCCTCTCTCTCTCTCTCTCTCTCTCTCTCTCTCTCTCTCTCTCTCTCTCTCTCTCTCTCTCCCCCCTCTCTGATGATCTCGATGAGGTTGCCCACACTTTGACTGGTGGAAAATTGAATAAGTGGCTAGCTCCTGGACTCTTTTTCAAGAGTCTCACTCTGCTTGCAATTGATCTATAGAAAATAGGAGCGCCAAACTGGACACCCACCTCTCACAAATAGTTTATGACTCCCACTCAAGCTCGGGTTATTTATTGCATTCTTAATGGTGCTCCCTTTGACATTGAGTCTGCTATTTTTTATGTTCTGGTATCATTTTTTGAGATCTCCAAGCCCCAAATATTGTTGTTTTATCCGTCTACTAGGAGCATTGAAGTCACGAGCCTATTTGGTACCTAAATCGAAAAAGGGGGAGACAAAGAAAGCTGTGGGAAAAAAAGAAAGAACCTGCTAGGACGAAGGGGGAGAAGTCAAGGGCTGTTGATGTCATGGCTAAACGGAAGGAAAAGGTTGTTCATGTTGCTGCCAAGGAAAAGGAAAATGAGAAGGCACTGGAAAAGGATGAAGGTTCCGACACAGAAGAAGATGAAGCAGGTTCTGATGGTGAGGATGAAGAAGAGGATGTGGCTACTGAGGAAGTGTCTGAGGATGGTTCTGACAAAGGTTCAACCGAGGAGACTGAGGATGAGGAGTCTGCGTAGTCCTTACGTCTGGATATTTATTTGTGTTTTGTTAAAAACTATTTGAATTGCGTGTGGTTTGTTTGAACTTTTTTTTTTCATTTTCTCTGCTTGCATGTGATGAACATTTTCCTTAGTAGTATCCTGTGAACTATTTTGCTCGTATTCAGGTATTCGAGTTGTTCTTACGAACAACACTTATGTGATGAGATAAGTATTCTTGGGGTTATTTGTAGTGCAGGATATGTAATTATTCATGCAGGTTCAAGGAAATGGTTTTCAATTTATCTGCCAAAGGGGGAGATTGTAAGTTCTGAAGATTGGTAGTAAATCGACGAACCTTCTGGTGTTCACAGGATTCAAAAAAACGTAAGAGTATTTAAGGGAAGTTTGTTTTAGATTGAATAGGAGCTCTTTTTATTTATTATTATTAACTGACTGATAATAATAAGTGTTTATTATGGCAGGTCTATGGGGAATAAACTCCAGATTCACTTCCATAATCGCAAGAGAGAGATTGCGGCCTTGAGCAGCAAGAGACCTTCCTTATGTGCATTTTAACTTGGAGGCTAAGAAAAAGAAAAAACTTACCAAATGAAGCCTGAAGATAAAAGAAGGCTGAGACTCATGTTGAAGAGGAATTTTGTTTTGATCCTTGATTTCCATTATTATTGAGTTGTATTTTTGCTCTCTGAGTGAAGGGAAAAATATTGTTCTGCATTATTTCGTGTGAGTTTAAAACAGAGTGTTTGGAAGTTCATTCTGATATAGTTCAAGGGATTCAAACTAGAAAACCCACAAGAGATTTGTGGTTAGATAAGTAATAGTGTGAGTCACTGTTCAAGTAGAGTGTAGAGGGAGTCTATACTGTAAACCCTTGAAGAGTGTTTGTGATACTCTCATTAATAAAAGAGATCTGAAGGGAGAGTGGGACACGCTCTTGAAGGTTCAATTTTCCAGTGAAACTGCTTCCGCAATTGTTTGAATCTTCTTTTTAATTCTATTTTGATTAAATTGTTCGCAACTCTGGATACGTGGTGTACGAGTATCAAACACCACTCATAAATCAAAATTTATATAGAATACTCTTTCTGAGATATTTTGGCTCATTTGAGTCTACAAATTGTCCAACCTTGTACCAAATGGATAAAACGTTTCGTTCTTCAAAACAGCAAATGTCACATCCATACACAATTTAGAAACTGAACATGAGTTCTTTCTAAAACTTGGTACGTAAAGGTAATTACTCATAAACCAAAATTTCTATAGAAAACTCCCACTGCAATAGTCGCCACTTTCGTAGGAAAACAATTCTAGATGGTAATCTACCTATCACATGTCGATTGATTTTTTGGAACTACTTTACATAATTAGTGATTACATATCTATTCACCAGGTACTGATAGATAACACCACTAAAAATATTCTGACTTTCTAGTGATTGAGATTTAACTTTCTTGTATTAAGGATAGGATAGTTCAACTTCCTATGTCTATTTTTCTTAGACCGGATATTCACGCCCTTCGGCTTGTATTCTTTGGTAAAATAAGACACTATCCAAGTTCTATTTCTAATCATGTTTGAACAAGTAAATTATCTTTGAGAATTACAGACAACGCATTGAAAGACATTTTGAATTCCTGTGACACTCAAGTGTTTCAAATTTAACATCAAATATTGATCCCTTCAAAAAAATATTGAAATAAATTCACCGACACCTCAAAACACCGAATCCCCGCAGGCTACTTTGGTGGACTTCTGCGGTTCATACCATCGCAAGAGGAGGGATTAATCCCATTAATTAACATTGTAACATCCCGTTTTATTTTATTAAATCATATCATTGGCATCGGTCGACTAAATCGTATTGTTTATTATTATTATTTGCTCTTGTTTGATTTAATTGTCCTAAATGTTATGTGTGTTTTGTGATTGATTTGTTTAAGTGATTATTTGATTAATTGCTTAATTGATTATTTGCTTAAGTGATTATTTGACTATTTTATTTGCATACGTGACTATTTGATTATTTGCATATAGGAATATTTGATTATTTGCTTATGTGAATATTTGATTGATTGCTTATGTAATTATGAGAACTTATTCTTAAGTGATTATTCAATTTGGGGTGCCTTCGTGATTATGCGATTTTGTGCTATGTGATTATTTGAAATTTTGTGCTTAGTGTTTTATTTGAATTCTTGTGTTAAGTGTTAAATTAATTTTTTTAGATATACTATTGGGAGAAATGATCACCTATCGACGGTGGACACATGTTAATATGCCCACCGCGTAGGTAGCATGCACTCATTGGTGATGTAATTTTTAAACATATTAACATCACCAATGAGTGGATGTCACCTACGCGGTGGGCATATTAACATGTGCCCACCGTGGGTAGGGAAGCATTTTTAATACTATTGGTACTAATTGTTCTTAAATGGCTAAATTTATTCTGTGCCAATTTATAAACTGTTAGTCCTTAATTGAAATTTATGCCCATAATTTCCCTAAGTGTCTATCAGGATATATATATGTGGGTATTTTCATTCGCCCATGTGCATTATCAAGCCCTCCCAAACCCACAAGACCACACATGAGACCATATGACTCGCAGCCCAAACTATCGGCCTTCCAAGGAATAATTTTAGAGGAAATTGCATCCCATACTTTTGCTTCCAAAATATATTATACATTTACAACCAATAGTTAAATATTTATTTAATTACCTAAGTATGAATAAAATATTGCTAATATACCTAAAGTTATATTTTGGAAGTTATAGCAGATAATTAAGGGATATTACGTTTTTTACGGATAAAATAATCTGTAACATTAAACCAAACGATTCACATTCTCACGCGAATCTCGGAAAAAAAAAAAAAATTCTTTCAGAAACCTTTGTCAATGGCGAAAACCAAAATCGCTCGAGATCCTTGAAAAAAAAAAGCGAAATAAGGCGACGAAACACCACAGATAAGGCCGAGTTCCCAGCTTCGGAAGATCATCGCAAAATCAAACCCCAAACTCATTCAAAAGAAGCTCATTTTTGAGAAAAAAAATGAACCCTGACCCTAATCGCAAGTCCACCAGCAACGCAAGGATGAAGAAGCAAGTTCCATCCCCTGATTCCGCCACGACTGGAAAAATCCAAAACACATGCGGCGGGACCCTAAATCCAAAATCGACAATTCCACTGAGAAGGGTAGTTCATCTGACAGCGATTTCGAAGATGAAATTCAACCCGAAGACGTCGATAGCGAAGAACTTTTGCGCGAAGAGGAATCCCCGGTGGAAATTTTCAACAAAACAAACAAAAAAGGCTTCAAAAAGAGAAAGCTGAACTTAATTTGAACAAGAAAAAGAGAAAACCGACATGTTCGCAAACAGATAGTGTATAAGGTAATTTTTTTGTGTACATTCCAGTATTTTTTTTGTTTATTTTTTTTTTAAATAAGAAACATTATTATTTTTTTTATTTATTGTGAATTTGTTCAATTTTATCAGTTATTTGGTGTATGTCGACGGATAATTTGTGTTGGTTGACTAATCTTGTTTTCTGTAGTCTTTGTTGATGATATTTTTTATATATTTGACTTTTGTGGTATAATTTGTCATGGTCCTCACACTGTTAGTGTGCAATACTTTTCAGTCTACAGTCTTTTTAATAAGTATGTGGTATATATTTCCCAGGCATATAACAAATATATACTCTGGAATGGTTTTTTGTTAAGTATGTAGTAAATGTATCTCAGACATATAACAAATATGTACTCTCTCCCGTGTAAATCTCTGATTAGTATATCTCTGATGGGTACATTAACTCAAAACTGAGTATATATTGGTTATATGTATGTGTTTTATTTTTCATTGTTTAATTCCATCCTCTGCGCCAAGGATGAATGTTGATAATTTCACAGGACATGTTAAAGTCATAAGCAGACTAAATTGAATTGTTTTTTATAAGTATTTGGTATATTTATCACAGACATGTACCAACTATATACTCACACAAGTGTATAACTCTGATTAGTATATTAATTATGCTGTAAAACTGATAGTTAGACTATGATTAATATATTTATGAGGTATATTTACTTGTCTAAGCATAGAGAATTTGTAATCTGATTAGTATTTTGACTTGTCTATTTTTGTTTATTATTTTTTGCTAATCTGTGAACAAGTATAGTATAGTAATATGTGAAAAATGTGCTAGTAAGCTGTGTACAAGTATATGCTACTAACCTGTAAACAATCTGTGAACAATATGATTAGTATATGTAAGTACTGTACATTATCGTGCATATAAAAATCTATGTTTTCTTTTGATTCTATTCAGGAATGGGAATTGCTGATCTCTCATCCAAGGGATATAAATGTGAAGATGCAAAACAGTAACGACAACAGCAAAGAAAAATGCACGATAAGTGACATCAAGAAAATGCTGACGAAGGAGAAATTGGAAGCTTTTAGGATGTCATGTTACGGGAAGTTCCTTGATCTCCCACATTGCATTGTCCAGAACCAGCTCGTAAACTACATTCTTTTATGCGAGGTTCATCAAAGTAGTACAGATGAGATCTGGTTCGACTTCGGAGTGAAATTCCTCCGATTCGACATAGAGGAATTTGCTGTCGTGACTGGTTTGAAGTGCACTGGACTTACTAAGAAATTGAACATTCCAAAGATTGTCAATGGTCTGAACGACAAGTATTTTGATGGTATTGAAATAACTCAGAGCCACATCAGGTGGCAGTTTTTTAAAAAAACGTGGTCGAGTGATGAAGATGCCGTGAAATTTGCTAAGTTGCATTTATTAGCAAATCATGGGCTCTCAAGATGCTATTCGCATAGACCACTATTTTGTTGACATGATTGACAGTCCAAAGTGCGATGAATACTCGTGGGGAACTGCTGTGTTCCAGTTCACTCTAAACTACCTGAAGAAATCAATCCAGACCAGAGAGCAGATGCACATATCTGATAATGCTGAGGGGAGCAACTTGTATCAGTTATATGGTCTGATATTGGCTCTTCGGGCATGGTTTTACGAGGTTAGCGACACGGCTGAGGGTGTAGTCGCAACCCACGTGGGTGTGTACGATATCCCGAGGATAATCAAGTGGGAAGTTCGTGAAACTTCTACTCGTAGTTTTGTGCAGAGGACCTTTTCTAATCTTGATTACTCTAAGGTAAATAAATATGTTTTTATTGTTTTTATCACCACTCTTTGGGATACTAATTCTTATTTTTTATTTTTTATTTCTACAGTTCAATAAAATCGTTCCCACCGAGGCCGAAAAACAAAGTCTTTTGTTGGACTCTTTCTTCAGGAAAAAAAAATGAGTTCACTCGGAAAAAGACTCCATCAAGTGCCGCACCGCAACATACCAATGAAGATGATGTTATAACCCACCTCGACACACTTACTGCTGAAGTCCAGAACCTGAAGGAAGCCTTCCACGACTTCTCGAGACGGGTTTTTATTGAATTTGCTTGGTAAAAATTCTTAGTAAGTCTTTGTTTAACTATTTATGTAATATCCCGACAATTTATCAGTATAAATTATATTTTAGTTCCGACATTATTCCTCGGAATTAATTATTTTCAGTTATTTCAGTCGCAATTACCGGAAATTGTTTTCGACGTACCGTTTACGTTCGAAATAATTTTGGTAATTAAGCATTATGCTTAATTGAATAATTAAGCAATTAATGGTGATTAATTGGTAACTAATCTCAATTAGCTAGGTTAATAGCCGTGCGGTTTGTGTGTGTTTGGGAATGAAAATTTTGGTCCAAGATTCTTTCCTCTTTATCCTTTAGCCGTGCATGTTGTTAGAAATTGGTCCAAGAGATTCCTTGTCCTATGTGCCGTGTGTATTAGTTCATTTGTTCCAAGGATTTCTTCTTCATTTGTCCTCTAATGCCGTGCACATGTTAGTGTTTTGTTCATGCATTTCTTCACCCATTTTGCTAGCATATTCACGTGAGTTTTGAGGCCAAGGAGTGTTTGGAGTGTA